GCAATCCCTAACTATACTAGTCCATGTTCCTAATTGTATTGATCTTTGTAAGCTGTGATCTAACTATGTCACTTTTCTGCATTAAAACAGACCATGATTTCTTTTGGCCTAAAAAATACTCAAATTCACATCTTGGACTTGGCTATCAACCCTCCTCTCTGAAAGTCCTACCATGATCTAACCACTCCCGAGGCCTGTGGGGTCTTCTTCCCATTTCTCCAGATGATGCACTGACCTTCGTTCCCCTGGGAAATTCCTGAGTGTCTTTCAAGCATCACTTCCAACTTGAAACCCTTCCTCATACCCATTGCAGAAGCAGATTTAATTGTTTTCTTCTCTACAAGTCTAGAGCACTGAACAATTCTCTTGTATTGACCAGGACCTTTGGCTGTCAGTTTTGGAAGTCCAGCTTAACTGACTTAAGCCATAAACTGGGATTTATTCACTCAGATTGCCAGACTGCACAGGGGCTGGGCCTTAGGGTGACTGAGACCAGGGCCTCGGACCACATCAGGGATTTTCCCTCAAGCAATTGTCTTTGTGGGGCAGAAATGATAGACACTGACTTCTCCAGATTTGCATCCATACATACTTGGAACCAGAGGAGAAAAAAACTCTTCCCCACTAATTCCAGTTATAAAATTTCAGACAAAGCATTCTAGTTGGCTGGCTGGGTCCCCAGTGGCATCCCCCTGGCTCTCTCCATGAAGGGAGAACTGGGCATTATGATTCACCCAGACTGAGTCAAAGTACCTCCTGCTCTAATCTGGGAGTAGCACACTAGTATTAGGAATCCCCATCGGGACCCCTTCTTGGCTTTATGGTGGAAAAGAAGCAGTGCTCCAAAACAAGAAGATATAATCAAAGAAGGGATCCCAGACAGGCAGAAAAAACAAGCATCAAACAGTTTTTCAAAGTCTGTAACTAGTAACACTCACATGGTGTTGTAATTATGCATTTGGGTGAGCCTTTCTGACTAGAGTCTGAGCTCTAGGAGGTCAAGTGCCCCATCTTTCTCAGAGCCTGTCGCCACCACCCAGCGAGATACCTGATGCCAAGTTGGTACTCCGCTAATGTTTTTTTGTTGTTGAAATGATAGAATGGATACCTCTACAGTGTGAATATAACATCCAGTAAACGTGATCACAGAATTCCATAGAGTTGTGAAGTTAGTTAAATGGATGTTTAAGGGACCTCTTTAGTTGACAGGTCATTGAGGGATTCAGTTTAATTAAAACACGAGAATCTTTGAGATAGAGCTAATACTTATTGGGTCCAACCTATTAGCATTTTTATAAAAGCCACTTAATTCCTACCCCAATCCCATGAGTTTAGAGGAACCACCCCTATTTTAGAAATTAAGCAGATGGGGACGCCTGGGTGGCTCAGTGGGTTAACTGTCTGCCTTCAGCTCGAGTCATGATCCCAGGGTCCTGGGATCTAGTCCCGCATCGGGCTCCCTGCTCAGTGGGGAATCTGCAGCTCCCTCTCCCTGCCGCTCCCCCCTGCTTTGTGCTCTCTCTGTCTCTGACAAATAAATAAATAAAATCTTTAAAAAAAAAAAAAAAGAAATTAAACAGACGAAGTTAAGAGATCCTTGTGTTTTCCCATGTTGTCAGATAATAGGCTGCAGCAAAGGAGTAGAAACTCAGGCCCTCTGATTCCAAGTCTAGTGCTGTGTTCTTAAGCAGATTATTTAAACTCTTTGAGTAAAATGGGGAGAAAGACACTTATTTCTAAAGATTGTTGTAAGGAAAAAAAGAAAAAGACATAAAATGCCAAGTGCAAAGTGTAGTCTAGATTAGAGGATCGATAGATAACAGTTGTTATATTTGTCAGAGATGGTGGACGATTTCTTATGATGTCAGACTGGAATATATGAGACAAATTCTCTTCTTGTCCCACATTCCAGGGACTCATCTTGCATTTTTCTCCTCTTTAGTGCGGCCCACTCTGTCTCCGAGAGCTTCTGTCCCTTTAGGACTGGCCATAGAGCAGTTTACAAGCTCCTGGGCTCCCCCTTCCTTGCTGAAGCCAAGCACCCAGCCTTCCTTTGCTGCCTCAAACAGCCAACTCTAGTTCAGGAAAGAGCACTACCGGGAGACATAAGGATGTGTGGATCCTAGACCTTGTTCTGACATCAATTAGCTGGGTGATATTTGTACCGCTGTGCTTTCAAGTGTGAAATGAGGGTGTTGGAGCGGAGAAATTTCTATATTAAATTGTATTATGCAAAGGAAATTTCAGTAAAAATATTTTCATTGCAGAGTCAAGCAATATTACTACCCGGTTTCAAAAAAAATAATTTTAAATATTTCTCTATCCACCAAACAAATCCACATTGGACTTGCCTAAGCTTAAATCCATTTCTGTAACTTTTAACTCTTCCTTCTTGCTGTACATCTCGGCAGGGATTGCATGCCTGCAGCATGCATTCAGAATCTTCTCCTGAATATAGATTCCAGGAAAAGCTGAAGCACAGAGGACAGAGAAGAAATAGCGTGATGACGTTTCTTTAGGCTCACTGCCTAGACTCACTTGGCTTGCTGCCTTATTCTCATTAGTTCGACTGACTGAATCTGATTAGCCTACCCTGATTTATTTTTGGTGACCTGGGAGCACATGGGTCAATGCTTATTTTCATGGCTGATACAATCATCCCCAAAGCTGTCTTTAGATTTTGGAAGATTAGACCCTTTCCCTGGAAGACTGTGCTGTCTATGCAGCCTCATGACCCATTAGATACATATTTCTTCAACACTTTGCAAAATTGAGTCTATGTAACCCTCTTTTCATTATCACAAAATTTTGTTATTGGCTATTAAAACATAGAGCAAAAAATTCTTAATAATTCTGAAGCTGATGTTTGTATCCTTACTGTTTTCTGAGTTAGTGAATCCATTTCTGTAACCAATAATAAATAAAAGCTAGAGTTCAATGTTATTGGATATTGGATGCTTGGTTAAGCCTCACAGTTCCACCTGGACAACTGGCAATAATAGTGGGTCATATGTTCTGTATGTTTGTTATGTTTCCCAAAAGTACACAATTTTAAAAACCTACCCATGTGTCTGACGATGAGAGACAATGTGAAGAAAAGGACATTTTAAAAGGCAATCCGTACTGACTGATCCATATTATAGAGACCGGCCTAGGACTATCCAGATCACAGAGTAGCTAACATATGCCAGGCAGTGGTCCTGGAGCTAGAGGTGCAGCTAGAAATAAGATACAGTCCCCGTCCTTAAAGAACTTAGGGTCTCATACGGTTAACACAATTAAGTCTACTAAATGTTAACATAGAATTAAATTTCTATTAAGGGCCAGATAGTCTTTACAAATACTAGGACCATTAAAAATTAAATTAGATTTCTAAAACAACTAAATAATAAAAAAATCAGTACATTTTTAGGTACATTTTGGCCTCCTTTAGGATACTGATATGTACCGTATGCTTGATTTGGCTTCTGACAACATAAGAGGTACCATTAGGTTAATTCCAAGAAGCAAGTGTCCACATGTGATTAATGCAATCAGCAATTCTTTCATTCATTTAACAGAGACTTACCAGTTTATACCGTGTGTCAGACTGAGTGTTAGGAAAACAAGTCAAGAAGGGAAGAGAAACAGACACGTGGACGTAATGAAGCTCAATTTTGGTACTTGTGTAGTTCAGTGTTTAAGAGTCCAAACTAGATGTGTGACCTTGGGCAGGTGACTCAGTCCTTCTGAGCCTTGGTTTCCTTAACTACAAACTGAGATTGAAAAAAAAAAATACCTATCTCATCGGGTCATTTTGCATATTAAATGAGATGACTGTGTTTACAGCCTGCCTAGCTTCGTACCTGGATCCTGGTAAGTCCTAAGCATGTTTTAAAAAATTGTTCTGTCCCCCTTTCACGGAAGAGAGGTCTGAAGCTCAGAGCAGTGAAACAACTTTCCTGGACCCCATGTACCCAGAAGATGAGTTAAAAGCAAAGCAGCAGTGATACAAAGTATACGAGTCTTGTGTGAGACCAGAGAGCAGCAGGACTATTCTGCCTATACAGTATGGGAAAGAATCAGGAAGGAATATTTACACCAGCCACACCATGACTTTTCAAGTATACTGTCCGTAAACACTGATCTAGACACTTAGAGCAGTTTTCATTCCCCTTCACTGCTGCCTTTACCATAGATGCCAGTGATCCTCAGTCTGGTTCCTTCTTCAAAGAGCATGTTAGCTTCTCTTATTAAAGATTGGCTGGGCGCCTGGGTGGCTCAGTTGGTTGAGCGACTGCCTTCGGCTCAGGTCATGATCCTGGAGTCCCGGAATCGAGTCCCGCATCGGGCTCCCTGCTCAGCAGGGAGTCTGCTTCTCCCTCTGACCCTCCCCCCTCTCATGTGCTCTCTCTCTCTCTCCCTCATTCTCTCTCTCAAATAAATAAATAAAATCTTTAAAAAAAAAAAAAAGATTGGCTAACCTCCAATGAGGAGGATTGTCACAGGATTCTCAGTCCCGACTTTTTTCTTTCTTTCTTTTTTTTCAGAACTGACAGGTGCAAGTGAGTGAGGAAATAACTGCTTTGTGACATTCTTCTAGAATTCTCCTAGGACCCCCACAGCATTACTCCTTCCTAAGTAAAATGGAGTGCTCCATCCATATACTTTCTCCAGCATAGCTAAAACCAAGAATTTCTCTGCAAATCGAGTGCCAAGATGATTTTCATTCATTTCATTCTTTCCTCATTTCCACGATGTTTATTTTGTGTTTATTACATGACACAATCCATGAGTTGGGAGCAGTTTTTCAATGGAGAAGAATCAAAAGTAAAAGCCTGAGAAGATCCTTAGTCGTAAGAGGGTCAATCTCTCTCGTTCTGCTTTTCCTTGAACACTAAAATACCTGTGTGGTGCTTATCACAAACATTAGTTTTGGGAAAATGAGCTCAGCATAATTTTATTGCCAATGACCTCAATTTGACCGTCATTTCCTTTTGTTTTTCTCTTTTCTTAAACAGAATGCCACAACATTCCATGTAACTGTTCAAGATGATAATAGCATCGTTGTCTCTTTAGAAGCTTCAGATGTCATGAGCCCATCATCTGTGTATGTTGTGAAGATAACTGGGGAATCAAAAAATTACTTCTTCGAATTTGAGGAATTCAACAGCACTTTGCCTCCTCCTGTTACCTTTAAGGCTAATTACCATGGCCTTTATTATATAATCACTCTGGTAGTGGTAAATGGAAATGTGGTTACCAAGCCATCCAGATCAATCACTGTGTTAACAAGTAAGCATCATTTGTAATATTGTCCTCTGTGTTTCTTCTTTGGGTATATTCTCATGGGGCTTTCATTGAGAGAAAGTCAGCCCAGGATGGCAAGACCAATCACCCTGAAGTCAAGTGACATAAATTCAAAGTTTTGCTTTATATTGAGAATACGGTTTCTTGCCAACGTTTGATAGGGTTTAACTGTTACCTTTTGTTAAAGAAAAATCTATTTTAAACCCAAAAAAGTAAACCTCTATGAGATAGTATATTTTCAGACTGAATAATAATTTTATATTCATGATTGGACCATGTAATTTTTTGCTATATAACTGAATAGTATGATCATAACTAAGCTTTTTTTTTCCAGAACACATACTCTCATATTAAGCCATTTGGGTTTTGAGACAAAGAATTTATACTCATATTTAGCCAGCTAAAAATTAATTATACATTTTTAGCTGAGAGAGAGAAAAAGATATTATTTATCGGTTTCTATTCTTGACCTCACCCTCCAAATAGCCTTGGCTTCCACTGCCCAAGAAAAAACAAATCATTGGCATTTTAACCTTCAGTATATCATGTCTTAAAACATTAATGCTGATATTAGGAATTTTTAGGAGTAATTGTAACTATATGTGATTTTCACTTTTCTCTCTGGGACTTTAATACCTAATCTCAAAGTAAGATGCAACTTTACTGTATATGTTGATGTATATGTTAGAAGAAAAACTGTTACCTATAAGATGGCAGAGTTTAACACTAGAGCAATTTAATGGCTCAGTGAAGTTCTTTTTGCTTTTTGTTCCTCAGTGCAAATTTTCCAATGGCTGTGATTTTTTAAATGCCAGCTACTTGCAGTCATTTTTGCCACAATTAAGGAAAAGGACATAGTGATATTGTTCTCTCGGGATAAAAGGAAAGAGAAACATCAAGAAGCAAGAACTCAGAATCAAGCTAGAAGGCATATTTTTAATATGTCTGTCAAAAATTAATTGAAGTTTCCCTTGGCAGAGTCCCAGAATCAGCATTGAATCCTAAAAATTAGGAGTGGAATGGCATAAACCCAAGACCTTCAAGGTTTATAGATATAATGAGCAAACCTAGGACCTAGTAGAATTAAAGGAAGAACCTGCCTGTTCTAAAGGACTGTTTTAAATAAGTTGCAGAGAGAGTTGAACTGGGAGTTAATAGGTCCAGGCAGCAGATCTAGGTAAACAATGGCTATAATACAATTCCTTGAAATCAGAAGCTCTGCCTTCCTCATCTTCATAATCTCATAAGCACCTAACATGAACTTTACACTCAATAAGTGATCAATAAATATTAATTCAATTCAGTTGAGCAAGTAACAGGAGAAAGAACCAGGGGGAAAAAAGACTAAGGCACAAAGCAAGATAAAAGTATAGTTACTGTTGCTGACCTAACATTCATTAGCATGCACTTAGCCACTCCAGATCAGAAAAAAACTCTAGCAGTCAGCCCTTTAGCTAATGGTTCATAAAGACATTTGATAAGTAAGTGAATGATAAGTAAATGATAAATAGGTACATGATAAGAGATTTCCATAATATCTCATTGACATTTTAGTGTATGCAATGAGTTGTGTTCAAAATATTTTTTTATTTTCTTTTGTGATTTCTTTTTCGACATGTGGGCTTGGAAGTGTGCTGCTGAATATCCAAAATTTTGCAATTTTTCAGAGATCTTTTTATTAATTTCTAGGTAAATGTTGTAATCAGAGAACATACTTTATATGATTTCAATTACTTTAAAATCATTGCAATTTGTTTTAAGGCCCCAAATGTGGTCTGTCTTGGTGTGTATTCTGTGAGCACTTGTCGGTGAAGTGTAGACAAATGTCAATTAGGTCAGGTTGGTTGTTCAAGTCTTTTTTACCCTTACTAACTTTCGGTCTACTTGTTCTAATAATGATGGATAGTGGTATGTGAAAGTCTCCAACTATATCTATGTTGTCTATTTCTCCTTGTACTTCTTTTAGTTTATGCTTTACATATTTTGAACTTTACGTGAAGTTTGAAGCTTTTCATCTTTACACTTTTAAGATTACTGTGTCTTCTTTTTTATTGAGGTGTAATTGACATATAACGTTATGTTAGTTTCAGGTATACAACACAATGATTTGATATTTGTATATACTGCAAGACAATCACCACAATAAGTCAAGTTACCATCGTCACCATTCAGTCTCTATTTTTTTTCTTGCCGTGAGAACACCGAAGATTTACTTTCTTGACAACTTTCAAATATGCAATACAGTATTCTTGACTATAGTCACCATATTGTACATTACATCCCCATGACTTATTTATTTTATAACTGGAAGTCTGTACCTCTTGACTGCCTTCACCTATTTTGCCCACCCCACCACCCCCTTTCCTCTGAAAACCACCATTCTGTTCTCTGCATCTATGAGTTTTGCTTTATTTTGTTTGTTTGTTTGTTTTTTAGATTCCACATGTAAGTGGGATCATACAGTATCTGTCTATTTCTGTCTAACTTATTTCACTTAGCAAAATACCCTTAAGTTCCATCAAGTTGTTGCAAATGGCAAGATTTCATTCTTTTTTATGGTTGAGTAGTATTCTATTGCACATAGATACACCACATCTTCTTTATGCATTCGTCCATTGGTGGATGATTAGGGTGTTTTCAGATCTTGGCTATTGTAAATAATGCTGCAATGAACATGGAGGTATATCTTTTCAAATTATATATATCTATCTTATACATATCATATATATCTTTTCAAATTAACGGGGTTTTTTTTCCTTTGGCTAAATATCCAGAAGTGGAATTGCTGGATCATGTGGTAGCACTATTTTTAATTTTTTGAGAAATCTCCATACTGCTTTCCATAGTGGCTATCCTAGTTTACGTTCCTACCAACAGTGCACAAGAGTTCCTTTCTCCACATTCATACCAATACTTGTTACTTCTTGTCTTTTTGATAATAACCATTCTAACAGATGTGAGGTGATATCCCATGGTGGTTTTAATATGCATTTCCCTGATGCTTAGTGATATTGAGTATCTTTTCATGTGCTTTTTGGTCATCTGTATGTCTTCTTTGGAAAAATGTCTAGTCATAGCCTCTGATTATAAAAATAATAATTAGTAATATAATAATTAGTTATATACATAATAATTAGTGATATACATACATACACTAAGTGGTGACCTTTTCAGCTTAGAGAAGTCCCTTTAACATTGAACAATTATCACATGGTTTCACTCATATGTGGAACATAAGCAATAGCATGGAGGATCATGGGGGAAGGGAAGGAAATCTGAAGGGGGAGAAATCAGAGAGGGAGACAAACCATGAGAGACTATGGACCCCAGGAAACCAACTGAGGGTTTCAAAGGGGAGGGGAGTGGAGGATGGGGTAACAGGTTGATGGGTATTAAGGAGGGCACGTGTTGTGATGAGCACTGGGTGTTATTCGAAACTAATGAATCATTGAACACTACATCAAAAACTAATGATGTACTATACAGTGGCTAACTGAACATAATAAAATAAATAATATAAAAAAAATAAAATAAAAATAAAAGTGAAGGTCTGGTTAAAAAAAATTCTTGTAAGGACAGTTTGGTAGTGATGAATTCCTTTAGCTTTTACTTGTCTGAAAATTTTTTTTCTTTTTCAAATCTGAATGATAACCTTGACAGATAGAGTATTCTTTGTTGGAAGCTTTTTCCTTTCAGCACTTTGAATATATTTGCCACCCTCTTCTGGTCTGTAAAGTTTTTGCTGAAAAATATGCTAATTTTTTTTTTTTTTTAGATTTTTTAATTTATTTGCGAGAGAAAGAGAGAGAGAGTGAGCACAAGCAGGCAGAGCAGCAGGCAGAGGGAAAAGCAGGCTTCCCACTTAGCAAGGAGCCGGATGTGGGACTCGATCCCAGGACTCTGGGATCATGACCTGAGCTGAAGGCAGATGGTTAACCAACTGAGCCACCCAGGCTACCATATGCTAATATTCTTATGGGGTTCCCTTGTATGTGACTTCTCTTGCTCCTTTTAAGTTTCTCTCTTTATCTTTAACTTTTGACATTTTAATCATAATGTGTCTTGAGTGGATGTCTTTGGGTTCGTCTTATTTGGAACGCTGAGCTTTCTGGATCCGAATGTCTTTTTTCTTCTTTAAGTTAAAAAAAAAAAAGCTTTTAGCCATTATTTCTTCTAATGAGTGCCTTTCTTTTGTCTTCTTCTGGGACCCCTAGAACTCAGATGTTATTCCACTTGATGCTGTCTTACATGTTCCTTAAGCTGTCTTCATTTTTTAAAATTGTTTTTTCTTTTTGTTGCTCTGTTTAGGTGAGTTCCACCCCTGTGTCTTCCACTGATCCTTTCTTCCATTTTTGCTAGTCTGATGTTGAATTCTTGTAGTGTATTTTTCAGTTCAGTTATTGTCTCTTTCAGCTCTGTAACTTCTATTTGGTAATTTCTTATATTTTCTATTTCTTCGTTAAAATTTTCACTGTGTTCATTCATTCTCTTGAGTTCAGTGAACATCTTTATGATGATTACTTTGAACTTTTTATCAGGTAAATTACTTATCATTCATTAAGATTTTTTTCTGGAATTTTATCTTGTTCTTTTGTTTGGAACATATTCCTCTGTTTTCTCATTTTGCTTGACTCTGTATTTGTTTCTATGTATCAAGTGAAACAGCTACCTCTCGCAGCCTGAAAGAAGTGGCCTTGTGTAGGAGGTAAATATTATTGTTCAACCTTGCCTTAGCTCTTGGCTGTCTCTTGAACCTTTGTGATTGTCTAAGCAACCTGATTTATTCTTGATAAGTCCCTGTTGGTAAGGGTACGCTAAGACCTGTCAGTGTTCCAAAGGGAGGGATCTCAGGCAGCACCTAGTTTCAGGCTGATTGGAAGACATGTCCTCAGGCAATAGCTTTTAAATTACGCAAGTATGTACAGTCCTGAGGGGCCACAATTGTAAACCCTGCTGGCCTCCAGACCAGGTGATCTGGAAGTGTC